CCAGTTGATGAATAAGAGAGGCCCTAGCACTCGCCAAGGTTTTTTTAAACGAGAGCCCATAGAAATACAAAGTCCTCGAAATACCACCTTATGGGCCTCCCACAGGGTTGAGGAAGACGCTATGGAGCCAACATTGTGGATAAAATAAGTATCAAGTCCTCGGGAGAGTTCATCCCTAAGATGTTCTGTGGAAAGAAAGGTCTCATTAAGGCGCCAATGACATGGTTTAGGTATAATGGGAGGGAAGAAAAGGTTCAAAGTCAGAGAGGCGTGGTCAGACCAGGTAATGGGGTTGATTTCAGAGTAGACCAGGAGAGGAAGCAGTGGGGCAGAGATAAAAAAATGATCTAGGCGGGAGAAGCTACGGTGAGGGGTGGAGTAGAAAGTGAATTGTTTATGGAGTGGGTGTTTAATCCGCCAAGCGTCAAAGAGACGATGCTCCCTTATCAGTCTACGGAAGGATTTTGAAGAGGAGCATTGCTGCCTTGAGGGTGTGGACTCGAAAAGAACTTTCCTGTCTTTATGGGGGGAAAAAAACAAATTAAAATCACCCCCAACAATCACATGCGAAGTGGAAATGGAACCTAGGTTGGCGAGTGTTTGGGAAAGAAATTGCAATTGACCCGTATTTGGGGCGTATAAATTCAACAGAACAAGGGGAGTGTCACCAAGCATACATTCCAAAGTAATGAAGCGACCCTGTTGGTCGACCTTGGAGGAAACAACCCGAAGGGAGCAGTGTGCTCTAATCAAAATTGCCACCCCAGCCTTCCCGGAAGGATCAAAGGCCGAATAGGCTTGGGAAAAAAATCTTGAGGCAAAACGAAAGGAGCCAGTTGATTTGAAATGGGTCTCCTGGACAAAAATAATGTCTGCTCCTGAGGATTGAAATTCCCTCAAAGCCATCCACCATTTTTGAATAAGGTTGAGGCCCTTGACATTATATGACAAAAACCTCAAAGCCATTATGAAATAATAATGGATGAAGCACATGTATTAGCATGAAAGATGAATGATATACCATCGATGTAATAGAATAAAAAACAAAAAACATTAAAATAACACAGAAGAGAGTAAACATAGTGGTAGACATAAGTATCCGCAAGGATATAAACTTGGGAACAACAGTTAGACCCAAGTCGTCTAGGCCTATGGCTAGACAAAATCAGGAGCAGCACGGCATCCGAAACATCAGGAAGGTGGTCAAACCCGGCCAGAAAAAACAAAAGTGAAAAATGCACCCAACAAGGGTTCGACCGGCCAAAAAAAAGAAAAACCTGTGGAAAAATCACGTATAGACCAGGAGGGAGGGATTCACATCACAAGGTCACCCCAGAGAATCATCAGACAGGCGGATCGGTTGACCGAGGACGACGTGGATGTTGTGAGGTACGTGAGAGCCTCTTCCGGCCTCCGCGGACTGGAGTCCAGATCTTTTTGGGGGTGGCTGATGGACGAGATGGAGTGGGTGGCAGTGGGGACACATCATCTGACAAAGGTGGAAGTCCCAGGCACTTTAAAAAAGAATTCGCCTCATGAAAATCACAGAGCACAACTTGAGTATTGTCCCTAGTTACGACCAGCCTGAAGGGGAACCCCCACCGATAAAGGACACGGTGTTGCTGAAGGTGTGTGGTGATCGGCTTCAGAGCTTGCCGCTTGGCCAGGGTAGTCGGTGACAAGTCGCAGAAGAGTTGGAGTCTGTCACCTTTAAATTCCAGAGATGGCTTGTGGTGAACTGCTGATAATAAGGCTTCCTTGCTTTGAAAAAAATGGAAGCGAACTATGACGTCGCGTGGTCTGGTGCCTTCGACAGGTTTTGGGCCCAAGGAGCGATGAGCCCTGTCCATTCGCCAATCTGCTTCTGGAACCATAGGAGCAGTTGCGGTGAAAAAGGACAGTAGGTGACGGTGTAGTTGTGCATCAGCAATAGATTCGGACATACCGCGTTTACGGATATTTTGGCACCGTTCCCTGTTTTCCAAGTCCTCTTGTTGTAGCTGCATTTGGGACATGGATTGCTTCAGATATGCGTTGTCCTCTTCCAGAACATAAACTTATTGCACCAAATCATCAAACTCATTTTCCAATTTATCCGTGCTGTCTCCAATCTGAGCTATTTCCCCTCTGAGATCCAAGGCCAGTTTTCCAATTTCAGCGGATATGGATGCGGTGATATTGCGTAAGAATATTTGCAGTTTATCATCTAGCGCTGAAATTGTGAGAGAAGATGACGAGACGGCCTGCTGGGAAGTCTGGGTAGAGGGGTGTTGATTCCCTGATGCAGGTTGGTCTACTGCCCCCCCCCCAGTTATGTTCCGGGGGTCAGGATTCTCCCTCTGGGGCTGGATCAGGACAGAGGCAGGCATAGATGCTGTGATACATGAGGGTGAAGTACCCTCTGTGACCACCGGGGGTCCGCGATCGCTCCCTGGGTTCCTGGACATACTGGAGGCCGGGGATTGTGGCCTGGATAAGAACCACCGGAGCGGTGAGGGCCGCGAATCCTGGCTGCGGGGAGGGGGGCTTCCAGCGCTCTATCTTCCCCATAGAGGTCCCTCCCTGGTGCCGGCCCGGGTGCAGAGGGTGTGCGACTCACCCGGAGCAGAAGGAAGGCAGTGGCGCGTGGTGGGTGAGTCGGTGCTGGCCGGGGATGAGCAGAGCTCAGGCTCTATGCGACTGCCATCATCCCCGGTCGCGCATGCGCTCAGATTCAATTTTAAACTGTTTAAAGTGAACCTTGCAGTAAAATGTAAGGTCTACTTATAATATCCAGGCCACTTTCCCTTTCACCTGCAGATAGTACGTGCAAAATGTACCAGAGTGCAGGCACAGTCCACTTTCACACCATTTCTGAGAATTTTCTGGGTTCCTTGACACACCTCAGCATACCTTCTTCAGCAACTCGCAGAGGCCACACCTGATGAGGCAGAGGTAGTTGGGCAAATGATCTTCAGTCAGGTGAAAGGCCCTCCACTGTCAGAACAAGCAGACAGGCAGCAGAGCCAGAGCCTATTTGTATGCAGCTTCTCCATAAGAGTCAGCTACTGCGGAGAGCCCCTCAATTGCTACCAGAGTACTTCAGTTCCATTGGGTGACCCTTTGTCCTTGGCCATTAGATACCTCCAGCTATTCACTTTTGTTACCAGAGCTACCATGGGCTTCACTGTGAAGAATGTTGTTTATGAGGAAAATCGCAGCTAAGTTCTGAACTGTTTTACTTAGGTAGAGTGTTAGAGACACTATGCTTTGCACTCATATGGTACTCTGAGTCAAAGAGCCCCTCAAATCAAAGTCCTACAGAATGACTGAAATTCCACAATCAGAGGTCATGTTCTTTGCTATCATCAACCTGTTCTTTTTATTTTGCAATGTATTTTATTATTGTAAATTCTTGATTTTGTGCACATATCTAAGCATACAATTTTACAGTTACCATGCATATAATAGCATAAAACAGAAGAATATAAAAGTATACAAATCAACTGGGTATGAAAATTATAGTAACTGTTTAATACGATATACCAGAGAGACAATTATGTTGAAAACACTGTAAGTTGTAGTGGATGTTATAAAGCTTGGAATGGACTAAGGCTCCTATGGATTTTTAATTAGTTAGGGCTGTAAGAAAAAGGGAAAGGACCACTAAGTGGGTTGGTAGAATAGTAGAAGATTGAAGTGGGTTCTAAGTGGAGGAAAGGGTGGAAACATTGGGGGAGAATTTAGCAGGGAAAAGGGTCAAAGGTGTACCAAGTGTACCATTCAAGTCACATCAACTGTCCCCTAATTTCAAGAATGAGAATCAATGAGAAGGCTTTTGTTTAGGAAAACAGAGCTGTCCAAATCTCATGAGATAATACTCTTGCAATGGACTGGAGTGCCTCTCACAAGATTTAGTCTGCTCTACATTTCCCATAAATCTTTCAGGATGGTGACTCAATGCACAGAGATTCAAAAGATGATTGGGTTAAGTATAAAATCTAAAGCTGGGTATCCACAGTTTTTTTTTTTGTTCAACAAGTGGGTTGGATGTAAAAAACTGACAGATTCTGTATCCACACAAGCGATGAGGATGCAGGAATCTCCCCCGCCTCACTATTGTATTCTGACAATGGACAAAGTACACTGATCAGCACCACAGCCAGGGCAGGACTGACCATTTAGAAACTCGGGCACTGCCCAAGGGCCCGTGGTCTGTAGGGGGCCCCATGAGATGCCCCTGGTACCTTTTTCATAGGCTTTTTTGAGTTTGGGCAAGGACACAGGGGCCCCATGATCCCCTATTGCCCGGGGGCCCCATGAGTGGTCAGTCCACCCCTGATCACAGCTATTGGCTGCATGCACTGATTGAATGCTGGTTTTCAGCAGGACCATTTAGCAGAAGTCCCTCTAACAACTGGCCTCTGTTGAACAAAGAGGGATACACGCACACCCTGCTTAACCACTTCAAGTCTGGACACTTTTACCCCCTTCCTGTCCAGGCCAATTTTCAGCTTTCAGCACTGTCACACTTTGAATGACAATTGCGTGGTCATGCAACACTGTACCCATGTGAATTTTTTAGCATTTTTTTGAGACAGGTAAAACTTTATTTTGGTGGTATTTATTCACCACTGGGAATTTTATTTTTTACTATATAAATGAAAAAAAGTGTTTTTCTTATAACATTTTGCAAATAAATAATCTTTCTTCATAAATCTTGGCCAAAATGTATTCAGCTATCTTTTTATTTAAAAAAAAATAACCCAAATTAGTTTATAACCAAAAATTATAATTTTTCTAATTTTTTTTTACATTATTATTAATTTTTTTTATATTATTATTTATGTTTTATTTAACATACTGTCACCATAGCAGTACAGTGTCACCATAGATTCACTGTACTACTTGTGGGGGGTGATAAAGATTTTTTTCTACACTGATTGCTTTTACACCCATAAAGGCTGTAAAAGCAACCATTTCTCCTTCTCTCTGGCTGCGTTCTTGCAGCCATTGAGAAGTACTGTGTGAGCTGTGATTGGTCACAGGTTGTCACATGGTACAAGGCTGTTGTGAATAGCCTAGTACCATGTGATCTTTGTGATCATTCACAGATTTCACTAGTAGTAAGAAATTATGTCAGAAGTAACATATTGCTTACTACTATTCATGTGATCACTGATTGGCCAATCAGTGATCACATGATCGGGAACTCACACAGAGGTCCCGTACAGTGATCGTGTTCCGCTGTTTCCGGAGGACACAGTGAGCACCGGATCGTGGTGACGGGTGCTCCCAGGGAACGTGTACAGGCTTAAAATGTGGGCTCCGTTTATGAACGGCAACCCGCTCCTGCACTGCTCCCGTCCGGCCGTTTATGTACATGTGCTGGACTGGAAGTGGTTAACTATTCTCTTTACAGGTGAATTTTGCACCCACTGTCCACAGATCTTTTTTCAGGGAAGGGGGGCCAGGCATTATAAGAGGATCTTTCATTTAACTTGTAATGCTTATAAACTATGCTTTGAGCCCAATGGGGACAAGGGCAATATGAATTTCATGAATTTTAAACCTGGTGTATGTGACATATCTCATGTACATTTTCTCTTGTGCTACATAAGCATTGATGCCAGAAAAACACATTTATTACCACAGGCTTTTCTTGGTAATTTAAAATATACATTGAAGATGATTAACTTTTTATTCTTTAAAATTTATAAGAAATTGTAGTCAATATATTATTAGAGAGTCCATTAAAAGCCTTAAATTAGAACAAGCAGAAATAGTCACAAATTATTGCTATTCTTCTCTGGCCACAAAAAGCTAGATTAATCGCTTTCAGTGTCTTCTGTCTTTTAAAATAATTAATTTAACTTCTAAATTATTATCAGAGGTTTATGTCAGCGTTTAAAGGCTCACTCCATTTAAAATTGAAAGTGCAACCTTAAATGGAAACAGTATACTTTTTTAGTGCTTTAATTTTTCTCAGGCTTAGCTGTATACTAGTCCAGTGTTTACTTTTCTATACATTTTGACCACCTTTGTGCCACCTTATAGCAGAAATACTGCTACAGGGCAGCACAGGTGAGCCAAATCACGTATATATACACGATTTTGCCATTCCATAGTTCCAACCTCCATGCGCGGCCTCTGCTGTCAATCACCAGGTCCCGACCGGTGATTTCTCTCCAGCACCTGGTGATTGCCTAGTATCCCTGATGGGGGAGAGACCTGTGTATAAACAATACAGATCTCTCCCCTGTCAGCTCCTGCACACTGCTTTGTATGGCTCTGCATAGCAGAGCCATGCAAAAAAGTGTGCTTACAGTGCAATACAGCACACAGCCTTGTAGTAAGACAGCACACAGCACACAGTTAACCCTTTGATCGCCCCTCATGTTAACCCCTTCCTGCTCAGTGCCATTAGTACAGTGTCAGTGCTTTTTGTTAGCACTGATCACTGTATTGGTGTCACTGGGGATGTCAGTGACACCAAGTCAGTTCCCCACAGTGTTGGAATGGCCGTTGCAGTCCTGCAGTCCCATTATAAGTTGCTGATCGCCGCCATTACTAGTGAAAAACAAATTCCAGTATATATACCGCCATTTGTAAACACTTTAGCAAAGATATATAGCATAATACATTTTTGCCTAAATTTTTGACGAAATTTGATTTTTAATTTTTCTTTTACTAGACATGTTTAATAGCAAACATTCAAAAATATTGTTTATTTCTCAAAGTGGTCGGTCTTTTGTTGTTTATAGCACAACAAATTAAAAACGCAGAGGCAATGAAATACCACCAAAAGAAAGCACTATTTGTGGGGAAAACAGGATGTAAATTTCATTTGAGTACAGCATTGCATAACAGCACAATTGTCAGTTAAAGAAATGCAGAGCCGTAGCACAAAAAATGGCCTGGTCGGAAAGGGGGGTAAATCCTCTGGAGGGCAAGTGTTAAACAGGTTTAAAGTCCTGAAATCAAATGTATTCTGCCCCCGTTTTGGCTTTTTCTAACAGTAGGTAATAAGTTGTGTGGTTTGGAAAGGCAGGGTAGAGTGTTGAATACAGGAAAAAGCCACCCATGTTTTCTGCTTTTTAAAGGCAAGGTAAATATTCCTACCTGCATCTTGTTTATTTCATAAGGTGTGTATTGATTATGCAGTTCATGGTGTAATTTGTTGCCCTGTACGCAAAGCCTGTAGTATAATAAATCTTCACATTCCTGTGTCACCACTTTCAGCTTGTTTTGAACTATGAGGCATGTGACATGGCACTGCACAGGTTAATGCATGACCTTTGTCTGTAATGTGAGAAAATCACACATTCCACAAATGCTGGGTCTCTCAGCTTAGTGCAGGTGCAGGTGAGAACTGCACAGTAATTAGGTCGGACACAGATACAAGTAGACAAAGCATTCACAGACATGCAGAAAGCTTATTAATGCAGCTAGGAGATTATGGGGTTGATTTCCTAAAGGCAATCATTTTGCAAGTGCGGTTACACTTGTTTCCCCCAGACTTTAGTGAATGTGGTTAATGTCTGCTGATTTCCATCGTGCACTAATATGCAAGCAAAAACGCTGTTTTTTATTTTCCATGGACCTGGTTGGGTATTGTTTACAAATTGAATTTTCACCACATTCACAAAGCTCTGGAGAAAATGTATGCAACTGCACTTGCAAAGTGCACAGTCTATTAGTAATTCAGTCTCTATGTGCTTCATCACATTCACACTCCTACACTTATGATGTGATATAGAGGACATGCATTGGGCACTGTATAACCTGGGACAGGAAGTTGTCCTGTCTCCTTCGTGCATAGTTGAAGCAAAAAAATGGACATGGGGAGTCAGCTATGATGCAAACTGCAGCCACAACATGTGAGCCCATCGTTATAAGGTAAAGCAAACAACACAGTGATTATACCTACACTACCTAATTAAAACAACAAAAATATTTGAAAATATACAGTTCCTTTAAGAATATGAAATAGAGAACATTCTAAAGCTTTATTCCACAAATAATTTAAAGATATAGGGGTTAATTTACTAAAACTGGAGAGTGCAAAATCTGCTGCAGTTGTGCATGGAAACCAATAAGCTTCCAGGTTTTTCTGTCAAATCTTAATGAACAAACTGAAGTTAGAAGCTGATTGGCTACCATGCACAGCTGCACCAGATTTAGTGAGTCAACTCCATAGTATTTGATCAAAAAATCCGATAGCATCACAAATTTCATGAAGGACAGTCTGCTTCTGAAACATTTCTAACATATTATATTAAAGTGCAGTCTTGTAGTTTGTAGAGTTTGTTCATCTCAGCCAGATAAAAATTATGCAAGGAAAAAACTTCTTTGAATTCCAATTAGATCAACGTCCTTTGGCAAGGTTTCTAAACACACCTGATAAAATTGAAGTTTCCATGGTTTTATTACAAATAATATTTACAGAAAGACAGATGTACTAAATTTTTATCCATATTGTTTTTAACAGATGGCACATAAACTAAATATTTTTGACATGTTCACCAGTTTAAATCACAATCCAGATTCATGACCAAGGGCACAAGAACATAACACTTTTTCTTAGCAAAGATAAATAACAAATGTTTGAGTCTTATTCCACCCAGTACCAAACCCCTTAGCAAAAAATAATTGCTTTTCTTCCTGGGATTTTAATATCATGGATGCTATGAAAGAGTTTATTTAAGGTTTTATATTAGATATTAAAACATACAGAACAGATATTGTAAATCTGATAAGATGCCAAACATTTTTAGAAATGGTGGACAAATGTATTCATGATAACCAGCTGTTCTCCAGCCATACACCCAACCCTCCCACCTTACCCACACCACCGCCAATTAAATGCTTAGAATAATTTTTAAAAAGTAAGCCACATGATAGACTGGGTCCTGGGCTTTTTATATTCTGAACTGTAAAGAAAGGAAGATTTTCTTGGGTGCTCTTGTCTCCGCCTGGGCCACTGGTTGTCCAAGGATGGATCCCTATTAAGCTCCAGAAGTCTGCAACAGCATGATTAAATCACAAGGGATGGCAAAAAGAGATGTTTGGGTCAAGCTAGCTTCCAGTGCTGGATTACAGGTCCCCACTCCCAGGAAACCTGTTGTCAAGGGACATGGGGTTCTTGTTAGAAAAAAAAATGGGAATTGAAGGAAAAGGGGTGGGTGGAGGGATGGACTTAGTTATAGTTTTTTGTTAAAATAGGTGTTTAAAAATATATATAAATCAACAGCATTTCATTGATGGATTCCTTTTTAAAATGTTAGTTGCATGGGTCTGACTTCAGTGCATTCTGAGCCATTAGCTTGGTATTCAGCCTATAATATCAGAATGCAAAAACAACTAATATGTTTACTCATTCTAGGTCAATTATAGATTAGGTATGACAGACAAGTAATTAACACTTTTTTTTAAAAAATATGTTATGCTCAAAATTTTACTCTTGCTAAACATTGAAAAGTCTGAACAAAATACTATCTGTATTCTAATAGTAAACTGTGTATTGTGGGTAAACTGGCAAATGTGTTTTTGGTTTGCAGGAACCAGTTTTTAAAAGTACTTAAGCTTTCGCTGTCCTCCATACTGTATATCACTAGTGTGTTTTTAACTTACATTTTATTTGCTGGTATCATCAGTCAAATTCTGACTAGTCACTTAGTACTGGTCAGAGGCTAAGTACTTTATAGTAATAGGCTGCTTATTTTTGCAAACATTAATCATTACAACTAGTTGAAAGGGGTCTTCTCCTTTCAATCCTAACCCACATCAGGTTCTTTTCTTGACTAAAAGGAAAACAAAAAATCTAGTCTAGGTTTCAATTTGTGGAAAGGATAGATAGATAGATAGATAGATAGATAGATAGATAGATAGATAGTTCAAGTCCAGGGAACCTGAAATGGTACAGGAAAGAAGTAATGGGTTAACAACTCAGTTTTTCTTCATCTGTGAAGAGAAGACTTCAAGGTGCACGTTTGACAAGCTGTAAGAAAGCCATTACTAAGATGGCAAGATACGAAAAAGAGGCTTGCCTAGGCCAGGAAGCACTGCCAGTGGACTACTAAAGACTGGAAGAAGGTCTTAAGGACCGATGAATCAAAATTTGAGATATTTGGTTCATCACGCAGGTTTGTGGTACTCTGTTGAGTAGGTGAAACGGTGATTCCTCAGTGTGTGACACCAACTATCCAATATGGAGGAAGCGTGATGGTCTAGGGTTCTTTTGTTGGATCCAGATTACAGGACTTGACCAGAGGGAGTGGCACCCTGAACCAAAACTACTACCTTTTTTTCAGCGCCATGCAATGAAACATACCTCCAGGCTGTATCAGAAATACTATAGAAGAAATTAACAAGACGGTAGGCTTCAAATCATGGAATGGCCAGCACAGTCTCCAAACTTAACCCCACTGAGCTGGTTTGAGATGAACTGGACAGAAGGATGAAATCAAAGCAGCCGACAAGTGCAACATATTTGTGGGAGCTTCAGCAACAGTGTTGGGAAGAACTTTCCTGAATAATATTCGATTTCCATGTGTGTTCAGGTGGATACTTTGATGAGTAAAAAATTTTGATTACATTTTGTTAAAGTAAATTATTTAAATTTTTTTTATATCCAACTGTTTATTTGTTCTATACTTTATTTTCAGATTACATTGAGACATTGCGTAAATTTCAATAAAAATTGGAAAAATGGGGGTGTTCAAAAACTTTTGATAGGCTGTGTATATATAAATACATTTTTCTTCATTTTCCATCCCATAGGTTTTTTTTTATGAAGTTAAAGAAAGACAGGAGGAATAGTTGGTTTTATTTTTGTTTCTCTATGTCACAGGTGTCAAACTGGCAGCCCTCCAGCTGTTGCCAAACTACAAGTCCCATGAGGCATTGCAAGATTGACAGTTACAAGCATGACTCCCAAAGGCAGAGGCATGATGGGACTTGCCTGCAGTCAATCTGTATTACTGATTCATGCATGTCATGGACTTTACAGTTTTAACTAGGCTTATGCCGATGAACAGATAACACAGCTTAAAATAACTGTTGTATAACTCACCTATTATTTTCTTAATACTTCACTGAACAGTAACATTTACATTATACATTCAAAAACTGAGCTTGGTGTGTTAACTGATGCTTGTGGGTCCTCATGTAGCATGGCCCGGTCAGCACAGAGTGCAGTAATGAATTTCGATATCTGCTGACCTTAAGCCCCATAAACATGGACCAAATATCAACCAAAATCAGCCGGTACAGTAGATACTGG